ATATAATTTTATAATAACATGCATATCTTATCTATGCCCATTTTATTATTATTTTTTGATTGCCTACCGTCCATAATTTTCAATTTGTTCTCTGTTGCAATTTTCTCAGTTTGCATTTCAGTTCTCATTAAAAAAAAAAAAAAAAGGAGGCGGAGAATCATTTTCAATGAGAGAATTCCAGATTTTGTTCGTAGTATTGTGATAACCGAATCCGTTGGTCCAGTGAATATTTTGAAGGTCAAAGAAATGTACCTGAGGAAGCAACCTTCGTAGATGATACGAGCACCGGTGACGCCGACGGAGCAGTTACGAATGTGATCGGCGGCGAAGTCGAAGCACTTGAGACAGTCGGAGATGGAGAGGTAGTTTCTGCACTGAAAGAGAGCATAAGCCGGGTTGTTTCCCTTCACCGCCTGCGCCGTCGCGAAGTGTTTGCTCTGGTTTCCGATCTGAGCTTTCAGGTCTTGAAACGTTGCGTTTAGGTTCTGATGGAAGATGTTCACGTCCGTGACGTTGTACTGGCTACACCCTATTTTCACGAAGTTGGTTCTGCGGGTCTGAAACGACGCCGTCCAGAGTCCACCATGACCAGATTATGAAGCTCAAGACGAAGAAGAACAAAGGCTTATGTTGTAGGTACATGGTGTCTTACTGTTTTTGTTGCTCAAGGGAGAGAAGAAAGAGACTCAGAGAGAGAAAGAGAGAGATGATGTAGAGAATTAATCCTTTTGAAGAGTATAAGTAGGCATGATGTTTGAAATTAAGATACAGCAAATTAGACAGAGTTAGGGTTTAATTGCCAAAAATTCAATTCAAAGTTCAAAACAGTTAAGGTACTGAATTGTTTATTACACACCGTGGGTCAAGATTTGATGCTATCATTGACTTTCAACATGGAGTTCTATATTATTATTATTATTATTATTATTATTGGCCATCCTATGGGCTTTCTACGCAGCCTCTCACTTTAAAACGTAAGATTTTTTTAATTATATTATGTACTCTCCCTGATTTTTGTTATAATACATTTTTTAGAAGTATTGATAATCCTTAGTATAACATAATGTACTTGATGGAACATTGATCACTATTTTTTAATGTTATTGTTATTTAAATTTATTGACTATTTGAGAGAATGTAAAAGTTAAAATTTTTATTTAAATATAAGTGAAATTAGGAGTTTATTATTTTTTAGAGAAAGTTAATAAATTAATTAGTATATTAATAAAATTTAGATTGTTCTTATTTGTTCTTACTATTTAAATTTTTCTTATGAAATGATATATATGTCGTTTTCTTTTTGTATTTGCCCTAACTACCGTAGATTTAAAAATGATTATTTAAATCTTTAATTTTTTTAATGAGTGACGTCACATGTGGGAAAGCAATGGTACAGTGCTGACCAATGAAAGCAAATTGAGAATGATGATCGTCACGGCACAGCTAGAAGTTGACCAATAATACTGCTTTATAAGATGTGATAATCTTTTTAAGTTTTAAGGATTTATCTATGAATAAATTTTAAAGTAAAATAATATTTTTACCTTCATGGCCAGAAAAACAAAAGAAAGACAGCAATCTCAATGTAACATGAATCATCGAGAGCATATCAAGAACAAGCAGACAAAGATGGATCCCAGGGCGGAGCCCAACATTCCGAGCCTTAAAACCTTGACATTCAAGTGCAGTCTCAAGGCCTCATCCACGTCCTTACTATTCAGTAGGTTGATTGCCAGCTTTAGCCCCCAAGGCTGAGCCACCAGCGACAAGAACATGAAGAAGCTGGACGACACCACCTCGAACACTAGAAGCTTCTCCACCATGTCCACATTGTTTTGGAAGGGTTAGCTCCGTGGAATTCAGAAGGTGAAAGAATAAAAATAGGAAAAAATTACAATGAAGTTTCATAGAAGAAACATAAATACAGCCAGGTCCCATAAATAAGGGAAATTATTCTGAAGTCTCATGTTCCTCAAGGGTAAATAATTCTAAAATTAAAATGACCCATTTGTCCTTGTCTGATTAAAAGGGAAAAAGCAAAAGAAAGAGAAAATATTTGGTCCATTTTCGCATGTGATGGATACTCCTATTTTGAATTTTGAGGCATGATTGAAACTTTTCACTTTTTCTAAAACCAATTGTCAAACTCCCACTCATCTTTGCACTGTTGCTTCTTCGCAAATCGTTGAGTGAATCTTTTTGCCCTCTCATCAATTCCAAAGTTCTTGCCCCTGAGTGGTTTCACATCTCGTCAGGTTTTGGGTTAGTGAATCCTCATATTTGGTGTGGTCAACATCTTTGAGTGAGTCAACATTTTTTTAGAGACCCAGGTTACGATCGCTCTTCATCCTTTCATTTTTTTCACTTACTCAACTACCCTATTTACATATAAATCAAGACTCTCACTTGTGTTTCTCGCACAGTAGTTGATTGCATTTACTGTCAAAGACCTTACATCACTTGCATTTTTTTGTATCTCTCCACATCACTAGGTTCATTTTCCCTCTTTTAGTGCTTCTTATGAAAATTGTGAAATGGAAAAATCATTGTGGTGGTTCTAGTTGTGAATTGTAATTGATTGTGTGCAATGTATATATGCTGGTAGGACAGTAAGAAATTCAATCAAGAGCGTAATTAATTGTTAAATGAGTATATGCTAGTGACAAATAGGGTATAGGACAATAACAAATGCACTTAGGAGATTGACAAGTAGTGTGCATGGCATTAATAAGTAAACATGTATTTTTTGGTGACTGGTGACAAGTATGTTGTAGGTGAATAACAAGTTTAGTTAAAAAATTGACAAATAGTATACAGGACATTAACTAGTAAATGCGTATTTGCTGGTGACAAGTAAGGTTAGAACAATAACAACTTGACTTAAGAAATTGACATGTAGTGCAGGGCATTAACAAGGTTCTTGATGCAACTAAAGCTACTGAGAAATAGTAACTTGTTGTAACCAGATCATTTGTTTTTATTGATATTACTATCCATTCAATCATTCTTCTAATAGTTTTTATAAATTATTCTTTATATATATGGAGATTTTAGAGTTAGTGAAGTAAGAGTGAGAGGTGAAAGAGAAATGAAATGAGAGTACTAGTTTGTTTGTCAAATGCCTTCACTTTAATATTTTGCTTCATTTGCCAATCCAACCAGAACCTCTTACTTTGAAATGAGAATGCTTGGTTGGGTGCTGGTTGAATTTTGTTGACTTGTGATCCTACTTTTTCGTTTATCCAAACCAAGCCTACATCCAACAAAATCTATATATGTTTAACCAAAAGTAGACTTATGATCTACGAAAACAAAATCAAGAAGTAGTAAATAGGGTGTAGGACAATAGCATGTTCACTTAGAAAATTGACAAGTATTGTACAGGATATTAAGTATTAAATGCTTATTTTTTGAGAAGTAAGGTGAGGACAATAACAATTTAACTTAGGAAATTGACTAATGTACAGGGCATTAATAAGTGAATGGTTATTTGCTAATGATAGGTAGGGTTAGGACATTAACAAGTTTACTTAGAAAATTGACAAGCATGCATATATAGTTGTACATATAGGTAGTTAATGTGTGTCATACGTGTTGTGATTATGATTTCCTAATATTAAACTTTATGAATTTTTAGTCAATTGAATATGAAGGGAGAAAGGAAGGCAAATATTTTTGGTTATGCAAATTTGTTGAAGATTTCAATAAGAAGAACAAGGGCAAGTATAAATCGATTGGGAAAGGACAGGGAGATTTGATAAAAGCATAGGAGAAGTTGTCAGCAGCAAAGAATGAGAATATTCAAAGAAAGCAAAGGAGGAGAGAGGAGAGACATTTGTAAAATATACTGTTCCCTTTCATACTCGTTGCTCTCCCAGTTAGTTTCTAGAATTGCAAAGTATGTTAAGCGAAAGGACAAACTAAGAAAAATGTGTGAGAAGATTGGGTTTAACAAACTACTCAATATAGGATGCAAAAAAATACATAGAGATATTTGTGGAGAGTTGATGTGGGCACGTGACCCTCTACCCAAGAAATATGCATTAGAGGAAAAGTGAGAAAATAAATGTAAATGATGTGTAAAATTTGATGGGCATAAAGAATGATGGCAAAGAGGTAACTAGAGACATAAATATTAATAACAAATCATTCAAAAAAATTAAAGGAAATTTACTTTTGAATGCCCTACAAAAAGATTTTGAAAATGATAACATTTAGGAAAGAGGATGCTTAGTTTGAATTGTTGTTTCTAACGTATATTACGAAAGGGGGAATGACAAGTTGTCAAGGGGAAATGATAACTTTGTATTCATTCACTGTCAATAGGCTTACACTAGTATTTACAACTTTAACATATAGACCAGCTGTAGAAATATTATCCATACATTTACATAATATTGACAACCTATTCCAAAAATAATTACATGAGCTGCATGGATATACTGCACCTTTAGATATATTTACAAAAAAAATTCCATATGTATTTACAAAAAAATACTATATGTAGTTACAAAAAAAAATTAGTTGAATAAACAAAAAAAATGCATCTCCTTAGCATTAATTAGTATGGATTAGGGTTTATGCAATTCTTAAAAGTATGAATTGTCTCATGACATCATCCACAATAATCAAGCTCTTTCTTTTAAAATTGAGATTCACGTCTCTTCATCTTAGGCCTTGTTAGAGGCCTTCTAATCTTTAATGGCTCTAAGATTGTTTGGGTTAACATATTGGTCATTGTCAATGCATTTGGACGTAGAATATCATGTGTAGACGCATGCCTCACACTGAGAGAATAAATTTTTTATTATGATGTTAGCTTATATCATTCATCCACAAATATGTAGACATTTTCATGAACCAGCTTTATTACTGCACATGCAAGTGCACAAGGTATTCCACTCATTTGCCATGCCAAACAAGTGCATTCTTGTCTTGCAATATCTACATTCAAATGAATTATTCCATTAGGAGAAAAGGTTTGTACCAAGATCTAATTTTCTCCATAAAATTATGCATGCAAATTTTCAGCCCTCACAACTTGCTACAATTTTTTCTTTATATTAGGCTGATCCCATCTTTCTAATGAATCATAGCTAGTTTAAATGCCAGCATCTTGTTTGCCAATTTCTCTTGATGATCATGTATTAAAACATCAACATTATGCTTTCTCTCTTTTACAATCCAAGCGTTAAATGATTTAGCAAGGTTTGTTATAATGTTATCCTATCATTTATAAGAAAACTTGTATTGTGTCTATCAATCTACATCCCCTTGAGCTTTAACCCATTATGCCAATCGTGGACTGAACAATCTAAGGTTCCCTATGATAATATTAAATTCTTCCTTATGCGTAACATAAGCAATAGCATCAAGCAATTTGAGTGTAGCCTCTTTGCTATTCGCCAATGTCCTCCTCTTACCTCTATTAATTTTTACATATTCTATACTAAAATTTTCCTTCACATGACAATAACAACATGCATGTCACTCACACCACATATAGCTTGCACAACCCTAATAATGGCATTACGTCTATTAAAAACTAATGTTGTCTCAACTGATCTTGTGATGTCTTTTGACATTTTCCAAAAATCAAGACCAATCTTCAAATGTTTCCCTACTCACAATAGCATATGCTACTAAAAATAGGTCATTGTCATTATCATAAGTAGAAGCTGCCAACAATATTCCCTTGTTTCGACCACTTAGAAATATCCATCTATATAAAGTATGTGTTGAAAACCTTCTAGAAAACCCGAATATAGCATCCATATGCAATGAATAGCCCCTTAAATTTGTTTCTATTCAAGGTATCCCATTTCCCAACTGTCGTTAGATCAGTTTCCCTTAATCTATTACAAATTTAAAGGATTACCATATAAGAATCTTGTGGAAGACCATGTATATCTCATAATGCTTTTCCTCTTCCCTTATATGCTTGACTGTAGGTCAACCGTACACCATACTCTTTATACAAGGATCTTCTAATTTTATTTGTACTCTTGTCTATAGTATACCTTAAAGCATCAACAATGATCGATGATGTTAAATCTAACCTTTCTTAGTGTGAAACAATAAGCTTGTCATGTGTATTGTGGATGTGCTCGCTGTTGAATCTTGTAACCCTCAAAAAGTTACTATGTTTCCTTATTAAATATGCAACAATATTTTATAGACAACCCTCAACTTTGCACTTATCAATAGCCTTTTTTATATTGTTCTTCTTAAACTTGTATGAAAACTTGTGCCAAATGTTATACTTGTACAAAGTTTGTCTAAAGGCTACTGCATCATAAACATTTGGCTCTTACCTACAAACAAGTCCTTCTACTTCATTGAATTCATTTGAAGTATTGGAGTAAGCACCATTTGTATAGCATATTCTAATGGTGAGTCTTCAATCTTAGGACATAAACTAAGTGGAGATAAAGAGCCTCCCCTTGAAGCTCTTAATAAATTATCTATCTTTAAAAAATTACAATCTAAGCATATTAGTAATACTACATTTTAATATTATCTATATTAACAAAAACAATTAACACAACTTATAAATGTTGGTACTAAGTTGGATCATCTATTGATACTTGTGTAGTGTCATTTTCATTTACAACTATATACATATATTCACTTTCTTCACTGTATTTAATTAAATGTTCTACTCTATCATCATCAAAAGAATCTATAAGTGTGCTTCTATCAATGCTGAGTGTGAACTTTATCTCACTTTCATTGTTTTCGCACCCTATAATTAATAATAACATTCTTCTCAACTCTTCATAAGTTATCCCTTCCTTCATACTTCTTGTTCTTACACTCCCAC